CAACTTCTTTTTGTCTTTTGTCAGATCGCTCCTCCATACAAGCGGTAAATACAGTTCTGATAAGCTCCGGTTATTGAGATCGGTGATTTAAATTTGTAATGTTGGAACTCGCGTGTTGTATGTCGTGCCTTGACTAAGTTTTACGTGTTGGTTGATTTGTTAAACAGTAATCGACAAATGACCTGTCACCTTACGCTAGGTAAGGAATGAAACAAAGCTCATACCTGTCGGTATTTTATTTTTCAATAGCAACTATATGCTTTTTGAACGTTTGATGGTATGAGTTTACTAACCGCATACAGGCTACATATAAACTATTTACGTCATAACCCAATATAGAGCTGTAAGGGAGTTGTTGATTTTCTCTACCATTGGGTTTGCCAGCTTCTTGAAAGCGCGTAAAATTATAAACAGTCTACCAACGATGTTTGACTGATTGGTATGATATAAGCCATCAATGTGTTTACATATTAATACGGAGCAAGCCCGTGTGTGCATTCCGCTTTTTGTAGTATTTTTCATGCCGAGTCTGGTACTGATAAACTGACGTGAAAAATATGTATCCCTTTACCCGCGTTCTATAATTCAAATTTGACTACTGCTTCTACTATCGGTAGATCATCTTAATTGTAATAATATTCTACAAAATCGAGTGAAGTTGTCATTTGTTTCAAGAACAGTAAAGTACTTAGGGAGGGGCAACGATCTTTAATATAGTACTTTTTATTCCAGAAATAATATACATATAATCGATTTTCTATAAAAAAGGGGAAATAGATATACATTTGTAATAAATGTATATGTAAATAAAAGCACGGCGAGAGAGAGATAGTTTAAATCTATATATATCACCTGAGGATTCCTGCTATTGTTTTACACTTTTTAATTAGTGCAGTCTTGCTATAAACATGGATACGTCAGATCCTCTGATCAATATTACATCGTTTGCAAAAGTGTGATAGTGTAGCAGAAATGTTGCGTACTTAAAATTTTGATCTTTGCAGAATTGTGAAAGTGTAGCAGAAATGTGGCGTACTTAACATGCCTTTCTAAAATTCATAATATGTTATTATTATAGTCTTAAGCATTCACTTCTCAAATTCCCAGGTATATATCGATAGTTTATCTATTTAAAAACCCTACACCAATTTAACAATAAACTATTTTACTACAAAAACAATCACACTAGCAACTGTACGACAATATAGTTTTACAAAGATGAACGTAAAATGTATTAAAAAAATCCGTTTATTAGTACTTCTGTTGTGAATACACTACTCTGTAACAAGTAAAAGCTTTACGGTAAATAATATACATAAACCGTTACACTAGATAATATAGGATCTTTGTAGACTGACAGTTTATATACATTCATTTATTAAACACATATGGTCACTCTGTCAACAAACAATCAATTTATTTTGTCGGTCTAATTAAAGATCCACATTTTCTACACTTTATATTCTTCATCTTAATAGAAAAATGTACACTTGTATGAATATTATCAATATTTTATGACGCTTAATGTATATTTCTAAAAAATCAATAGTTATATAGGTTTTAAAAAAAATCAAATTCTTTTCTACTAGTCTGCTTAAATAACAACCCTGTAATTCACCAGCAATACACATTTCAGTAACCTAGATGAAATATGCACTTAAGCCTTTAGGCATATTTATGCAACAATGTCCAACTTTATTGATCATGCGGCGCAAAAAAGAATTATCGTACGGTGTTTAACGATACGGTATAGCGTAGTTTGCATTCGACCGACACGCGACGATGGTCATTACCACGGTCGATAAACACGTTTGCAGAAAATGTGACAATTTGCACAAAATGTGTCGTGGTTATTTTAATCCAACTTATACTACTCACATTTCATTTCATCAATATTTCTGAATATTTTACTCATAAATGTAAAATAAAAAAATTACTATTACATTACACTACATTTATAGTAAAGTATAAACATTAGAATAAAATCAACAGGCTTATTTTCTATTTTACTTAAAGAATCAAATGTGCACGGTTATTTGGTAAGATTAATACTCTTAAGAATAAGATTTCATGAAATATTTAACATATATATATCATCAGATTTATATAGCCCATTATTATATTTTTGTTTCTATGTAAATTGATATTAAATTTATTTCTTTCTCTACTATATATTCTCAAACAAAAGAATGAAAACATATATGGAAAAAATTAAGATTTTTGCGTTAGTTTTGAATCCTCCTTTGTCATATTCTCAAAAAGAAATATTGGCCATCTGCAATTTATTTAGTCAAAGTATTTGATCAAAGATAAAAATATTTATTGACACATTCTAAATGTTAGTCCTAATATGTTTATCGTAATTGCTAGGATTTAGGATACATTAAGGACTTTCTATGCAACATAGCCGTGATACATAGAATAAAAATTTAAATCAATTTTAATTTCACAATCTTTATAGGTTAAAATTTTCAAATATTAAATCATGTTATACTGAGCAAGAAAATAACAAAATTTTTTATTTTCGTTTCATATTTTATAATTACACGAGGATTCTATGTACTGAATATGTTAAACAAGAATCTAGCTCAATACTATGTTAAGCAATTAAAAAATCATTACAGACTATCATTTTCAATGATAAATTTAACTTGTAAATAATTAAAACTTTGCCAAAATTTTGACATATTTCTTAGAAAAATTATTCAAGTCAAGGATGGTGAAGTGGAGTCACCACAAATATAAAGAAATTGAAAAAATGAACTTTTATTTACATAAATGAATACTTAATAAAAAAATGCCCTTGACAATTTATAATTAGATAAAATTTATATAATTAATATTTTGTTAAGGTTTTTTCAAATCATAATTATCATTCCTTTGATACGTAGAGCAATTTCAAAATAGTGCAATCTACTTAACTTAGTCGTAAAAGAGGTTTATGTTATATATGATTTGAATAAACGATCACCTATAAATCCGTTTCAAAATTCCATTTTGTTTAGTTCCGACAATGGTTTTACTCGTTAACGACCCGTCCATCTTTAACGTAAAAAAAAACAACAAAATGAATGGCAGAAGAATATTATATGAAACAGGATGTGTACACATATGATATAACAAAATGACAAAGTACAGGGGATATTTAACGATATAAAATATAGGCAAATGAACAACCAACTCATTATGAGTGTCGGTATATTATCTCGAGACACCATTTCTGAAGGAAATACAATATAATGTTCCAACAACAGCATCTTCAACTTTTTCCAGCGTCCTAGAGAGAAGTATTGTCCTTATACTTGATCACTTTATGGTTGATATTTAGACTTATCAGATAGATAATACATAGTACGTAGTTGTTAATCTCTGATGTTCATCTTTCGTAAAAATACCCTTTCACTACCTCTAACCCTTGGACGAGCTGTTTTTGCTAAATGCCCTAATCAACACTCTAATCTGTAGTCATGAACACATATTTTCTAGATTGCTAAAAAGACAGTTAAGTGAGAAAATATGGGTAGAAAATAGAATTCCTAAATGTTGCAGACTTGGTTAGATTGAGCCTGTTCATGGACGGTAGTGGTAACTGTAAGCTTACGTCCACACCCACTACAACCGGCTTACCATGAGACGGTTTTCATGGATCCTTCAAAACGACACTTGTGTATGTTGTTATATGAAAGTTCTCTTTCCACTTAACGTTTTAGCAACACCAACTTATTCCAGCATCACATTGTCGAGGGTTACCCTTTCCTAATATATATGTTTCTGACTATAATGGCTCTGAGGCGTATACAACAAATTATATGGTAAAATGAAAAAAACCGCAGCGACTTAAATGGTTCTACTGACTTATGGAATGATAGTCAATGTACCAATACTACAAAATGTAACACGCAATTTATTACAATAACTGAATGAATACATTATGAATAATACATAACAAAAATAATTTAAAGAAAACATAAGAAATTTCATTGTTTTTTCGTGATGGTAGGATATTTTTTATTAAATATGTCAGGGTTTATATTAATATCTGATTATCATATTTATTGCTGTTGTTGCTTATCAAATATATAATTGGTATAACAGAACAAGCATTTGTCTTAAATTATTTTGACATTGGGTTTTGCTGTGATACATTTCCGATTAAAAAGAAGATAAACAGTCGATACACATTTGAATTGGCAATACAAAAGAAAAAACATTACCTGTCTGATTTATTTTTTTTACAAAAACAGAAAAGTTTCAAAAAGGGATCATTAACACAATAAGATTGATTACCATATATATTTAGTCGGGATGGTTTCTCGATCATAGTCATTTTGTTTGCCTCTCCTTTCGGTCCAATTTCTAAGAAATCAACAATTCCTTCAAAATATGCATATCCGGGTATAGTGGTAAATGATACATAATATCGCCCTGTAAGATCTTTGTTATCTCTCTGGAATATTTTTCTTAGAATTCTTGTTTGCTTTTTTAGTGTCGTATTATTTGCCTCTTTTATGTTTGAATACAAAATAGAGGCCTCTCTAACGTCATAAAGGTCAAGAACACAGCAAACATTTAATTGCTTTTTCAAAATATTGTTTATTTCACCTACCAAAAAATTGGCCATTGCTTTAACAATATAACTTGAAGTTGATATGCCGACTTTCTCATTGCATGTGCAATATCTTATTCCAATGCCAGCATCAGAGCACGTCCTTTCTATAGGAATATTATGGAATACATTTCTTCGCACAAGTTCAGTTTTAACTGGTTTATTTTTATGTTTTATAAAAGCAACATCATGGACCAAATCAAACATCGTCTGATAAATATCGTAGTGACTCGTAAGCCTTCGTGTGTTTTCCAACAAAGTTCTATGCAACCATTTATACTTTAATTTTAAACATTCTGGAATATGAATCATAAGCCATGGCCTATTTTTTTCAGCTCTACCAATATAAGTCATTGAAGCACCGCCTAATCGGAAGCCATGATCACTTATCATGATAAACATTGCATGCTTTGTCTGGTTTGTTGTCTTCATCCACTTTAAAAAATTAAGTAAAGAATCGTCTGCTGTGCTTGAAATTGTGAATTGATTGTGACCCACTTGATTATTAAGAAAAAAAGCAAATTTCCTCTCATTTTTATATTTGTGAAAAAAATCCCTTTAAATAATTGATTTGTATATCAAAGTAGTTGTTCACACCATAACAATACCTAGGCGACCTTCGGAAGAAGTCAATAATTTTGGGCTTGAATTTTAGCTTACCTAAGTCATATGGACGGAAATAGAAGTCAGTTGGCACCTGTTTAAACCCCATTTTTCCATAATTAAATGTTGATATAAATGGCATGTCTTCAGCATAGAATGTAGCAAAATTCTCCATGGCTTTCTCTTTCCAGATAAATGGCATAGAGTCAACAAATTGTCGTCCATGGCCTTCATCTCTGAAGTTCTTACTAGATTGACCTGTTAAAAGCGGGACTATATTTTGCCAAGTGCCATCCCCAACACTCCTGTAGCCTTCAAAATCGTACATGTTGAATTTTTCCTTAAGGAATTTGTAAGATTTTGGAAGGTAACGCAACGCATGCGATCTGGAAATAGAGTCTATACCAAAAACGATTAAACTAAGTGCATTTTCAGTTTCAATCTCCTTTTTGCCTCTAGAATAATCGTCCCAGAATGGATTCATGTGGAGGTAATCATATACAGTTAAGTTGATAGGATTTAAGCACGTTACACGAAATACATGACTCTTCACAAAGACTGGTAATGTAAAAGTCACCTCCGATCGAAAAGTTACTTTGACATCTCCAATTTCTCTTTTCATAGTTCTATACATACATTTTAGCGACGATGCAAGAAGTTGGTTTAGGTACATTGCCGTGTTGTTAAACCGAAGGTATCCAGCTCTATCAACGAACATCACCTGGTGCCGTATCGAGCAGTTTAATGGCAGTGGGTCGACAAAGTAATCTTTCAGTGAGTCATCCCAAGGATTAAGCATATCTATTTTGCATGTGTTTAACTCCATATCGGAATAATCAGGTGACTGATATATCCAAAAATGTATGAAAACAAGTCCCAAAATGAAAAAATATACAAATCCCTTCGTTTTGTTTGAGCATGATCTTAACTTTTTCATCATCATTGTCCGTATTGCTTATCTGTTCAGAGTACACACACACACACACACACATACAAATGTTATACAGCTATACAAATGAAATATCCGCTAATCATCAGTTTTATATTACTGTTCAATCAGCGCTGTAACGTTAATACAAAAGGAAAAACGTAATTCTAAATCACTTTTCCAAAGGTATGTGTGAGGGTACCAAGGGTTAGAGTACGCGAAGTTGTCCAAACCAATTCGTTAGGGTAAGGTGTAGGTAAAGACCAATTTACCAAAACTGAACATTAGGGTAAGGGTATAGGCAAGAAGCAAGCATTTCACTCCTGAACTGCATAACCCACGTGACTTCCACATGACAATTTTTAAATAACGGATTTAATATCAATATACTTTGTCTTTTTTTGTTATGATGTAACACCATTTGACCAATTTTCAAAATGGCGGATTATATAAATAGTTTTTTTTTAATCATTTTGAGTGACACTTTAATATTTGATTTAAAAGTATATGGTTGTTATTATTTCCATTTCATTTTGATTGGATACATACCTTTAAACTATATTTGATGTTTTAAAAATTGAAGAAAGTTGGTGAAATAATAATAATAATAATAATAATAATAATAATAATTATATATAATAGTAATAAAATATTAATAATAATAAATAATAATGATAATTATAATAATAATAATAATAATATTTTCAGTGTTTTTAATTTTGTAAATGTTTACTTTGTGCTTAATGATATTTATTGATAAAATGAATTGTATGAATGTTCTGTGTTCATGTATGTTAATATTTATGTTAAAATTGTGATTACCATTCAATCATTTCTTTTACATGTTATATTTTCTCCGATTGATACGTGCTCGTGTGTGTGTGTGTGTGTGTGTGTGTGTGTGTGCGTGTGCGTGTGCGTGTGTGTGTGTGTGCGTGTGCGTGTATGTGCGGGTGCGTGTGTACGTGCTTGTGCGTTTGCGTGTGCGTGTGTGTGTGCAGTTCTGTGTGTATAAGTGGTGTGTGTTTACGTTACTGTTTTACTGTTTTAGAATTGATTAATTATAAAAAATGAATATGTTATGTAGAATATATGTAACAACAGCGTGTTAACTTGAATGATTTAAATTCATATATGAAAACAAGATAAATGGGAAAAAAGGTGTTCTTGTACAATTCCAAAATATGACACAAAAATAGACTTTGTTACAGATGTTTAAACTTGTCTTTTGACGTCGTATCTGTGTAAGCATCCTTCATTATTAGCACCATAATGTTAAGTTTTGCCCATTGTTTTCTTGTTTAGGGCACACGCTTTCTTTACCTGGGAATAATACGCTACCTGTTATGGAAATTGTAAATAACTGTCATATTAGCATACCTGCTGATGTAATTAATTCAAAATTCCACCACATCCTGTTTAGGTGTATAACAACCGGTGCTACGGGCGTGGACAGTAACTAGCTCTTTTCATGTAACGTCTGAATCAAACCGAGCATTCACAATTTATTTTCCTTTTCGTCGTTTAACAAGACATTATGTGATGAATTAATAAATGAATTTAGAATAAACAAAATTTATCATGAAAATTCCTGGTACAGTTAATTTGGGATACATTTAATATGACGGACGTAATGCAGACGTATCAAACGATTTGTTAACTGGTTATTTGATCTAAAGTTTGATTTAAGAAATGACATCGGCCGGAGAGGTGTACGTTGGTTGTCCCAATATTATTTGACAATATTGTTTAAAAGCTAGATAAAACAGGTACGAATTTGATATTTTAATATATTATAAACCCATACAATTTAAACATTTTCACAAATTTTCAAAGAAAAATATCAACAAACAACAAAAATATGCCATAAACACTATGGCAACTAACTAAATGGCGGCGCACATCCAACGTCAACAACGGCGTTAAATCTATATAAGGCGCCTTTCTCAAATATTCTTAATGGCTTTCAACGCAATAATGGTACCCATAAATCGTCAATTTCTGACTTAAATCATGTGGTTGTTAATGTCTGTAGAATTTTGGATGGCATACATTAACTTTTTCTATACGTAAACTTCCGTTCTCGTTACACCTGTTTTAAGCTGTAGGAAATAGGCGACGAATATCGGTCTTCCTATCCGTGTTTTCCTTATTTTTGCTTTTTGTAGCGCAAAACTCTGGTTCCGTTCATGCCTTTTGTACACAAGTGCTCAGGATATGTTACTAAACTGTTCTATTTGGTATATTTGTTGAAAATCGTAACATGTGTCATCTGGAAATAGTCATGAAACCTGAGTGACATGTTCACTGCGCCGCAAATTCTTCGAACGTCACCATTTTAACTTTCCTATTTTCTATGAGAAATGTTCATTTATCCGTAACTTGCTCGTTTCTTAAGTTATTAAACTAAAATTTTCTGAGTTGATGTAAACATAGCAGCAGAGGAAGTCAACGTGACATTGTGCAGACACATCATCAGATAATTGAAATATATGTAATTAATTTCAGCCTATTCATAACAAAATGTAAATTATTTGACGTGCGCCGGCAACTCAAACCAATGTCGTTAATACTGAAAATTTCTGAGTAACTAGAGTATTTTTTTTGTAAATGATTTCTTATAATGTTAAATAATAAGCTTAACGGTTATATGTGTGAATTATTTTCTATTGGCGTTAAAAATGAACCGGCTATAAAATTTGTCACGGACTTTTGGGACAACCCTCGTATATCGGCTATTTAACACCGGTTTGAAGTTTTGATGCGCAGGAATTGACCACGAAGACCGTAGGCCTGAGTGGTTAATTTTGTCGCATCAAAACGACAAAGCCGGTGTTAAATAGCTGATATACACATATCCGGCCGATGTTATTTCGATTCTAACACGATAAACTAAGGAAATCACTTATGTTATTTTTCAAGCGGAAATAACTTCCGGTGCCGATTTTCGTAAAATGCTGTTCGATTTTCGCACCCTACTGTTGCGAAGATATAGAAGTTATTAAACAAAAAGTAATAATAAGAAGGAAAAAAACGTTATTTTATCAAGTTTTCAACAATAAAAACTTACGTCGTATTGTGTTTACATCAGTACCCAATTTATCATTCTTGTATGTCAGCTTGTTTATGAATGAGTTGTTTACTTAGGATGACGTCATTACGCTGCTTACGGATTGGCGCCGTTTTGTTAAAATATTTAATAACTGATATGAATCTAATATGTGGCGTTAGTGTATGTGAGATATTATTTCGGTTTGTATGAAAAGAAAACATTATACGAACTAAAAATATAAATAAAAATGCTTTTTATTGTTGCTTTAAATGCTTTGTAAACAATACAATCGACGGTGAAAACATAACAGGGCATATACGAGTAGTCCCTAACCGGTGTTTATTGGCAGTTTAACACCACTTTATTTCCTTCTTTGTCTATAGTGGCAAATCCGTGAGTGTTAGAATGAATTATACATTTCTGTAATAAAAGTTATAAATTATCAAAACTTAGGACAAATAGTTTTATCAAAATATGTGTCAGTCAAAAGAATCAAATAGAAATCGGATATCGATATCGTACTTTCACAATCAGGGCAGACATTAAGGTATGACCATCCTATTCATTTAAGTATTCAAAAGTATCCTCACCAGTGTTTTTTTTCAACTGTCATTTAAAAGGATCATTCCATAATGGATGACAAATACCTAAAAATCAAAGGCGTGTTTAAAATGCTTCTGACTTAAACTGGATTTTAAACAATTGTGGATCGTCTTTAAAATTGTGGCAAGTACTTCGAAAAAATATTTAACTGAACATGGTCACACGTTGCTCGATATGGGCAGGTGAGCACCCTGTCACTTTGGTTAAATTTCGAAAGAAACTTCGCCGTGCAATTGTATTGAATTTATTAATTTGCCTAAGTCCTTTTTATAAAACAATTCATTTAACATAATAATGTTGTTTTTCTTTGTCTTGCTCGTAACTTTGTTAAACAATCTAACACTTTTTTAAAAAGTTTAATATTGTTACGCAATTTTGTCAGTGACTGTATAAACGATGCATATGTAATTTTGATTATAAAATATGTTTAAGAATAACAGTTATTTACACTAATATGAATCAGCTTTGCTTTCTTCTATTCTCCTTGATAGTTAAATGTTGTTGTTTTTTTTTTTTTTTTTTTTTTTTTTTTTCAAAAAACATGTATTTACGTATCTAATCGTCCATTTTCATTTTATTCTAGTTTTAATTTCCATACCCCATCAAGCAAGTTATACCCATTAGTAAAATTATGTTTTAAATAACTATCAAAATGTTAACGATGTAGTATTTTGACTTGCAAAAACAATCACTTCAACCTTATTGCCAAGAAAGGGATTAAAATAAAGATATGGACGAGATGATCGGTACATACATTTCTTTTTGGATTTTTTGAAATATCATCCAAAAGGAAAAAGCAATTGAAAAATAAAATTTTATAGTATTTTGTTTGTAAGTAAATAAAGCATTGCCTTTAAAAGTCAACCTTGTTTTTTTCTGTGCGTACAATGTCTTGAGAACAAATGTCCGTATCACTATAATAGCAAGATTCTATTATAGTTTTCAGATGTTAGGACTGGTATTTGACCAGACCTTTGACATCCCAAGCGGGCATTTATGTACAATATATCTGAAAGATGCGTTACAAAGGCATTGCTATAAAATATGTGTTTAAGAATAACGGTTATTTACACTAATATGAATCAGCTTTTTCTTCTATTCTCCTTGATGATAGTTAAAACATGTTGGTGTTTTTTTTCAAAAACATATATTAACTTATTTAATCGTCCATTTTCTTTTCCTTCTAGTTTTAATTTCCATTTAAGCAATTTATTCCCATTTGTGAAATAAGGTTTTACATAAGTAGCAAAATGTTAACGATGTAGTATTTTGACTTGCAAACACAATCACTTCAACCTTATTGCCAAGAAAGGGGTTAAAATAAAGATATGGACGAGATTATCGGTACATACATTTCTTTTTGGATTTTTTTTAAAATTACATCCAAAAGGAAAGCAATTGAAAAATAAAATTTTATATTATTTTATTTGT